AGCCCCCACCCAGCACCATCTCAAAGTATACAAGTCCCTTTTGCTGCCCTCTGGTTCCCACCTTCCTTTTAAGATAGTCATGCTAGATATGCCTTTCTAAAGCAAGCCTTCTTCCTCCCCATGACAACATTCCCATTCCTTCATGCCATCATTCTAAAGCAAAGTGGCCTAAAGATTAATTTCATTCTAAGATGTGGTCATTTGATAATTACTCCTAAGAAAATTTGCATTTAAAAAAGAAAGACTAAAATGTATTTTACCTAGGCATCCCAAAGTGACAAACCTTCAGTGGAGGATTGTTGACTAGCAGAGACATGTTTTCTCTTGTAGCCATGTGGCCTTCTGGCTACTGCATGATCTTACCCTTTGCAGGCAACGCTATTCCACACAGACCCGCTCCTGTGTGGTGACAGAAGTAACCAAATCCCAGGCCTGAGAACCAGAGAGTGCATCCTTGACACTAATGGCTGCACTATTCCTCCTATTGTTTTACTCTTGAAGAACCATTTTAGGAAGAGCTTTATGAATAGCTTGCTCATTACTAGAATAAAGTGTCTATCTTGACTAGGACCTAATATAAAAGAAGAAAAACTATATCCTGTTCTAAGTGAAACTGCCATTGCTGTTTGGAACCAAGTGCAGAGCTATAGGTGGAGCTGCTGGTCTCCTTGCCTTGGCTGGGACACAAGCGTGTGAGTGAGTGTCTTTCCTCAGGTGAAGCAGCACCCTGCTTCAATGCTCACCCGCTCTGCCCCTATATTTCCCTGCTTAGTCTTCCCAACAAAAGAGGAAGCCTATTTTGGAATAAACAGACACAGGCATCAAGGGACTGGGATTTTCTTTCTATTTCTACCATTTAGTAGCTATGTTATTATTGTCCCTTAACCTCTTGGTACCTCAATTTTCTGTCTACAAACTAGAGATGGCATTTGCCATCTACCTACCTCCAGGGGTGTCATGAGGATTAATGAGTTGGCTGCCAAGCATGGAGCCTGCCGAATGGTGCCACACCCTGAGAGATTCCTCCAACAGCAGTGAGACTGGGAAGAAGGGCAGGTGGGTGGTTTCCATCTGTTTCTCCCAAACTGCCTTGCAGTTACCTGGTGCGAGTTTTTAATGCAGAATAGACACTCTGGAGATCCATTTTCTCAGAAAAGACTCAAAACAGAATATTGACCCCACATGTCCAGTGTAAACTGAGGCTCTTTGACCTTAAGAAACGACTGGGCACAGATTGGCAATTACTTTCATCCTCTGGATTAAGATGCCCCGTCTGAAGCTGCCACACTACTGCATCCTGCTTCCCTTCAAAAGCAGCAGCTGCATATCTGGGGTAGCCTTGCTCCAGGAGGCTGCATCCCTCAAATAATTATGACTGTCTCAAGATTATAATCTCCCTGGGTTCCATTAGGTCCAATCATAGTTCCTCCTCCTAGTTTGTCCCTTGTTAGATAAACCCCTAGAGCATATGGACCTACCAATAAACAGACACTTTGGACAGCAGAACATCAGAAGTGCAGCTGTCTCCAGAGGAAAAGGGCTAATCACTTGATAGCAGTCATAACACCTCCACTGGGAGATCTGTGGCCAGGAGGGATAGAGCTACTTAAAGTTCAGTTAGAAAGTTTTGAGCTTGACTGTATAATCCCTGACCTAGTGTTTTGGACATTCTAAAAAGAACTGTCTGCTTTTCACCATGACTTTGTCCCCTGCCACAGAAGTGAAGCATCTAACATAGCACTGGACAAATATTCCTTGAGGTCAGTGTGATCTGGGGCCCTGCAAAGAACATTGGCGATCAATTCAGGAGTGATGGCTGCCCCTTACCGGCCCAGGGGATGCCAAGATGCCACTTAACGACTCTATATGACAATTTTCTCTATGTTAATTGGGGATGATAAGTTCTGCCCCTCCTCCACAAGATTTGCAGGTCCTTTGTAAAACTCACTAATTTGGAAACAAGTGGAAAGGAAAGAAGGCATTACTCAAATTTGGAAGTCCATATTGTAAAATGTGTGCTGAAGTAATGACAGTCATCACTTTCAAATACTGCAGAGATTGTTAACTAAGATACTGATTTTTAAAAAGTGAGCCAGGAAGCAAAATGAGGGAAGTAAATTGTGGAGGATAGTCTTGAATTCCTAAGAATTACACTACCAAAAAAAAAAGAGAGCATCTTTAATCATGCAAAAACTTATTGCTAAAAGTGGTGCCAAAGATACTCAGCTTACTAGAGCTCACGTATAGCTCCCGCATCAGCCCCTGAGACAGTCTCTGACTCACGACAGAAGGGTGTCCATGGAGACTGACAGAGCTGCATGCAGACACTCTGCAGCCCAAGCCATGTGGAAACCTTGTTCCTCTTTAGTTCCTGAGGAGGGTCAATAGGCAGGCTGCGAGTAAAAATGAGTGTACCCCCAACCACATCTCCTACCCCACTCCCCTAACCTCTTCCTCTCTCCTTCCCCTGACCATGAATTACCATTCTATGCATATCATGTATAAATGATTGCACAACCCAAGTTAGCAAAATTTAGATGAAAAAGGTTTGCCTGGTTGGAAGGAAAACTCTTCTGAGTGTAAATACAATCTGTAAAACGTAGTGTGTGCCTAGAAGCAATAGTAAAATAGGCAGGGAGACTTTCCCTTCTTGCAATTATTGTATTATAACTAAATATGTACTTGGGGAAGGGTGGAGAAAAAGAAAACAAAATTCTAGGTTCAGCAGTTGGGTAAGAAGAAAGAAAAACTTTTATGAAAAACAATTTACTCTCCACTGCCCTAGACATCGCAGCTCCCAAAGCCAGAGAGGGAGTGGTATTCAGCTCCGGCAGTAGCCACCAAGTTGCATACCACAGTCTCCAGCCCCACTGCCTTCTGGAAGTTCTTCAGGGCAGACAAAGTGAATTCTAGAATTCATAGAGTTGACTGAAGGGGAAAGTAGATGGCTCCATTGCCTTTTTCTGCAATTTTTTCATCTGTGAAACAGAATAGTAAAGACTCAGCTAAGAAGCACATTCATAACAAACTTCCTGGGGAAATCTCTGGCAAAAGAGAGAGGCATTATTGGGATGGTGGTTCTGTATTCTCCAACCCTCCACATCCTTGTGTCAGAGATAATAGTCATGTATTAGACTGTTATAAAACAAATAAAATTAACTTGACTTTTCACTGGCTTTGTATTTTCTTTGTATGTGTCAGCCAATAGATTGCCTCAGTTTCTGGTTATTTTTCCTTTGAATTGCGGGCCTGGAAAGCAAAGGGAGTGGAGTAAAGGGAGAGAGTGTGTGGTGTGTCAATAAACATTTAACCATCTCTCTTTAGGGTAAAGAAGCCCTAATTTGTAATGTTTGCCAATTTGCTTGGTATGAATTATCCCACCATCAATTTCAAGCTACCAACATAATATCACTGGACACAGAGTTGGGAAGAGATGAGCAGTAGCATAATATTATAAAGTTTTTCACCATGTAATGTACCATACAGTAGATATAAATAACCTCAAGATCATAGATAATAGTAAAACAGGAAGTAGTAAACTTTGAATATTTATTACCTTTGTATTTCATATACTTTAAGCTTGCATAATTCAATTGTTAATAATGACCGTACTTATTAACTTATTAAATTCCTAAAATCTTAGCAAATGATTCTTGCTAGTCAGTACAAGCCAGTCCCAGCACACCACTGAGTGAGATGAAAGAGAATCTGCTTTAGAACATGAAAAGTGTCCTGACCAATTGAGACTGGGTCAATTTGTTCCCTTCCTTTCTCTACACAAGCCTCTGGATAAAATAAAAAACATACTTGTTTGGCCTATGAAAGGTGCAATAGTATCGTTTGTTCTCCTCCATATCAATGAAAACTATAGAAAGACAAACTATAGAAATTTGTTCATTACAGGTTAAAAAAAAATGATAGCAAAATAAAATTGGCCAAAAGCTTCTGCCTGGGATTTATCATGTCACTTCTCTGCTCAAAATCCTTCAATGGTTTTTCATTGCCTACTCAATAAATTCTAAGTTTTCTAATATGATTTTAAAAGCCCCTTTATAACTGACTT